CCTTTGGACTGTGACCCATTTCGGGCCCAGTTTGATGGGTTTTCTTTTACCCCATTTGATCCTAGGCACCGACTATCACGAGCGCCTAGGTCGGAGCGTTTTAGATTTTGTGCCGCAATTCTGCATTTCTCCCTTCATACCTTTAAAGTTAAGGAGGATGTTTCCCCCTCTTTTAACCTCTTTGACCTTTGACCTTTTAAACCCCCAGCATCAACCTTCCCAACTCGTTTTTCGGATTACCCCCACGTCCTGAATATCGTGGAACCGTAACGTCGAGCGTTTAGGATTTTGTTGGCCAAACTGTTTGACGGGACGGCACGGCAGCGGACGCACGGGACGGACGCACGGACCGGTTACGATCATTTGCGATTCTTACAAGCTGGCATTGACTTTAGCTTTAGTACTATAAAAGCGCTTCACATTAACTAGCCGCTGGGCTATAGACCGGACCATGGGGATTGCAGATGGGACCAACTGGACTGCAGCCAAGGTCGGGGGGAACTATTGTATCTCCGCATGTGGAAGGGGTGGTCAGGGTTGTGTGGTTGTGGAGACAAGAAACATTTTGTTGTGTCAAAGGTAAAAAATTTAAATATAAGTAAATTTGTTTCATCTTTCATGGAACAAACTTAATATTACAATCTCTTTTGATCGCTTAATTTGTTACTTGACACAACAATGTTTTCCACACCAACCCCAACCCGCCCACCCCTCCAGCGTGCGGAAATTAACATAGTTCCCGCTGGGACTGGCGCTGCTGCAGCGCCGACAGAATGGCCGTTTGAAGTTCGCAAATCGAATGTTTGTTTACAAGGAAATACTGCAAGTTTCCTTGCACGATAGTTAGAGTTTTCAATTTTTAGTAGCGGGCTATAACTATAAAGACATATTCCTTGGAACTCAAGGGCATTAATTGCTCACAAAACGTTTTTTTTCAGGCCGGATTACACTGGGGATTGAGGTTGAGTCCATTGCATTGCCCATGGGTCGGTCTATAGCCCAGCGGCAGTTATGTAAGGGCCTATAGTACTAAGAAGCTACATTCTGACTAATAATTCAGGATTGAGCTAAAAATTTAAAGATTTGGTGTCGGCTACACATAATTAGGCTGAGACGGGTTCTATGTCCCCAGGGGGTACTGCCGGAAGTTTTTAACCCTTGGGGTAACGGTCGGTATATCGGAATGTACCCTGGTACTATTAATATGCCAGACCGTACCTCGGCTCTCCACTAACGGAGTCTAGGAGAGTCGGGCTACGCTTTACTC